AAAAATATGAACACCCCTTCACTCACGAGTTCACTTGTACCAAAATTGTCCAAATCCGATATCAAAATCCCAATTAAAACTCAAAAACTTGATTGAAAAACTTCTCCCATTTTTCCCAAAATTTTCAACCCAAATCCAAAATTAAAGGATGGAATTAATGATAGATTAGTGGGATATAACCAAAAACAAGTGTAGAATCATTACCCAATCGATATCTCTGAAAATCCCTCAAATTCCCGTCCAAATCCGAGCACTATATCTCAAGTTTTGATAAAAATAGTTAAACCCTCGATTTTGAAATGTTTAATACAGCCCAGGCATTCCTTCTTCGCGAACGCGGAAAAACCCTCGCGTTAGCGAAGTACAAACTTGCTTCAGCCTAAAAATACTCATCGCAAACGCGAAGCTTGATCAACTTGACTCTACGCGAATATGAGACCAACATCGTGAACGCGTAGGCAAAGAGGCCAGAAGACTCAGTTGACCACTTCCTCTATGCGAACGTGGGACCTCCATTGCGAACGCGTAGGCCAACAACTTCAGTGCTTCGCGAGACCTCCATCGCGAATGCGAAGCACAAAATCCCACCTGCCTCCAGTTCCTCTTCGCGAACGCGGGACTCCCCTCGCGAACGCGAAGAAGGAAACCAGAACTGGAGAGCACCAGAAAATCTGCAATTATTCACAAGTCCAAAATGATCCATTAACCACTAGAAATAAACCCGAGGCCCCCGGGACCTCAACCAAACATACCTACAAGTCCTAAAACATCATATGAACTTAGTCGACCCTTCAAAACATATCAAACAACAACAAAAACATGAATCACCCTCCAATCCAAACTTAATGAACTTTGAAACTTCAAACTTCTACAACCGATGTTGAAACTCATCAAACCACGTCCGATTGACCTCAAATTTTGCACACAAGTCATATTCGATAGGGACCTAATCCAACTTCCGAAAGCGGAATCCGACGCCGATATCAAAAAGTCCACTTCCGGTCAAACTTTCCAAAAAAATTCAACTTTCGGCATTTCAAGCCTAATTCAGCTACAGACCTCCAAAACACAATCTGGACGCGCTCCTAAGTCCAAAATCACCCAATTGAGCTACGGAACCGACGAAACTCCATTCCGGAGTCGTCTTCACAGAGTTTCGACTACGGTCAAAATCCTAGAACTTAAGCTTCCGTTTTAAGGACTAAGTATCTCAAAATACTCCGAAACCAAAAACAGAACCCCCCGACAAGTCACATAAGCAGGAAAAGATACGGGGGAAGCAGTAAATAAGGGATCGGGACTAATACTCTCAAAACGACCGGTCAAATCGTTACATTTTTTATTTAATCATCAAGTATATTCGATACTCACTGACTCGACTAATTCAGTTTTGCCCCACATGGGGTCAGTAAAACGGGAAGTGCTCCATACTAGAATTTCTCCATTGTTCCTATAACATATCTCCGATTAAGAGCGGAGGGATCATATTTTTTTCTTGCAAT